ATGGTGTTGTAAAGGGGGGGGCGGAGTGCAATCGATTTTGGGTGCCCAGACTTAAGGGTTAAAGCAACCCCCATTGGCGAGCCGTAAAATAGAATTTATTATTTTCAGAGGCATTTCAAATGGCTTAAAATCCATCTCCCCCCCAAAAAAAAAAACGAGAAAGAGTTGGAGAAGAAGGAAACCCTTTCATGGCAGGGTTGCCAAGTTGTCTGGGACGATTTTTTGTGTCGGGGACAGTTTTTTTTAATTAAAACCAAAACGGGAAATTGCATTCAGTTTCTGTGGCTTTTTTTTTTTGAAAATAAAACAAAAGGCAATGACTGTTGCCCGGCAAGTCCAAGTCCTAGTTGCTAGTTTATGAATTTAGAAAAAAGAAAAAACTGGCATTTGTATAAAAATTAATACAATTTCCGTATTTGACACACTGCCAAAGCAGCAAAAGTATTTTCAAATCCGCCGCCATTTAATTACAAGACTCTCGGCCTCATTAGGTTTTGCTGTGGAGGGCCAAAATACTTTGAAGCACTTTTTCCAGGCTATACTTAATTTTGTACATTTTTTTTTTTTGCCAGTTTTCTGACTCAACCACACAGCCAAGAGCCATTATCAATTTCCTCCTTTTTAATTTTGTTACTTTTTTTTCGCCAAAAATACAGAGGAGGGTGGCCAGCGGAAAATATATGTATAACGATTTAATTAAAAAGTTACATTAAATATGTTTTTTTGCCAAGAAACAAAATCAAAATCGCTTTGTGCAGCAAAGAAAAAAAGTAAAATGTGAAAAAAATGAAAGAAATTGTAAAGAAAAGGGAAAATCAAGTACTGGCAAAGGTAGAGGGTGGCACCTGTTTGGCGATGTTCCTCTTGGCGAGGATACAGTGGGGTGTTGGTTGAGGGAAATACAAAAAAAATTATAAAATTGTATAATTAAATTCCAAGTTTTATAAATAATTAAAGGTAAAATTGTAAGTAAAGTGCTCATACCCTAGATTGTTAGAACTAAACTACAATATTAAATTCAATAAAAATTTGGCTTAAAATAAAAAAAAAATGTTTAAAAAATGTAACCTTTTAACTTTACTTATTCTATAAAAATTTTCCCATTTAACCAACATCACTGTACTGCTAGTCCTGCATTCCTGTTCCGTTCTGCCTTTGGTCCTGGCCTGTATCCTTGCTCATTAAGTCATCGTTCGAGTCGAGTTATTCAATGGTCGACCTTTTGAGTGCCGAAAGGGGGACACTGGGCCAAATGGGGGTTAAGGCGGCGGTGAGCAGAGCATCGTTTTATTATTTTTTTTTTTTTTGGTATTTTTTTCATAATTTAATGTGCTGCTCTGTGCTGTGTGTGTGTGTTTGCGAGTCTTTTGTTTTTTTGGCGATGCCCAAAACACTCGACAAAAAAAAAAAAAACCAACGACAGTGAAATGCACGGAAAATCTGTGTGGGAAAAATGAAAATGTTTTTTTTTTTTTTTTTTTTTAACAGGCAGGAAAATCAAAGAATGCGGGTATGGCACGCCCATCGCCCACTCAACCACCCTCCCCTTTCACTGCTTTCACTTGTGCCTCAAGCGAAAAGAAAAGAAAATTTTTGAGGGTAGGGGGTGGTCTCTGGAAAAACAAAACAACAAAAAAAATTAAACAACGGCTGCGAAATGAACGCCAAAAACCGTTTACCGAGAGTTGTTTACGGGGGGAGCTTTCAATTTTTTTTAGGGGAACCCCCCTTTGGTTTTTTGTTTTTTTTTTTTTTTGGTGATTTTTCACCCCACGGACATCTGTTGGGAATTTTTGCACAAAAAACCAAAAGGGGGGGAGGGCAGAGTAGGAGTGAGTGTCAAAGAACTCGACTTGGTCTAACCCAGTTAACCAGGTAAATATAACATGTGAGTTCAAAGATTTCCATTAAATTATGTGTGTGCCTTGGTGGTTTTCTTATAATGAAGGGAGCTTTCCTTCCAGCTAGGACTTGGTCTTGGTATATTGGTTAAATAAATGAAAATTTCATTTCATCGGTACAATTAATAAAGGCAGAGTCCTAACGAGGGTTATCCAGGGAAGAAGGTAATTTAATTGAATCGGGGTCGAATAGAAGGGTAATTTCCATTCATTCAAGTCTGTTTTTTTTTTAGTTGAAAATTTAAAGAATACTCTAGAGATAGCCCTATAATAACTCTATTTTAACCCCCCACACTTCTCCCTCTACCCGCATTCCATAAAACAGAAAAATTATAAATGTTGGTTTAATATGTCGCACACCACACACAGGCAGTTAAAAAGGGCAAAAACCAACAAAAAAAAAAAAAGGAGTAAAATAATTTAAATATATTTGAAAGCATTAAACCATTATGCAGAGAGTGCAATTAAAAGGCATCACCATCACCACCACCACCAGTAGTCCAGTAACAAACAACCAATAAAATTTCAATTGATTTATGTGCCTGGAAACTCAAGTCCAAAACTTTTCTTGTTTTTCTATAATATTTTAACCAATTTTTTTTTTTGGTGATGCAAGTATTTTTCTATTAAACACTAATGACTTTTAAATGAGACGCGTGACGGCTGGTAGGCAGACACACTCATTTTATTTTTGTTTGTATGTTTTATTAATAATAATAGACGCATTATGACTACAAATAATTAAAAGCCATCAAAAGATACTCGTATGCGTATGCGTATGCGGGTGGATGATTGAAAGGCTACAGTACACACACACACACTTCCATTAAGGCAATTAATATGCAAAATAATTCAACGTCAAACGACCAAAAATTATGGTAAAGCCCCAAAAAAAATACCAAAATTTCCATTGACGCCAATTGTCGGCTTTTGTTTGCAAAATTAGTTCAGCAATAAAAATATATTTGGCTAGAAATGAAATTCCAACAATTGTTGGTACAATTAGAGGTTTAATTTATGACGAATTTTATTTCCAAAAAAAAAATATTAAACCAACAATCCTATAGCTCGATAGGTCAGAGATGATTTTTGGATTGATAACCATGGGTTAAGTGGCCATAACCTTGGTCTTTTGGCCAACATAGATATTTACTTGACCCCTGGAATAGTTTTGCCGTACTTTTGTGATGAATGCCCAGCCCTTGAGGGAAAGCGGAAAAGCGGAAATGCGGAAATGCGGAAAATGAATGAAAGCCGGGCAATGCCCACCACATATCATGCTCTCCCACCTTCAGTAATTTTTTTCTATATATATTGTTGTTGTTGTTGGCCAGGCTTTTGGCTCTGGCTTTCAACGTCTTTTGGTGTTGGCCGTAATGACCGGGACAACAATGAAACGAAGAAGTTAGGGACGGACACGGACATGGACATGGACACGGACATCAGGATAATGACGTTGATCAACGCACACACCCAGCAAATGTCCATTTGTCTAGCTAGCTAGCTAGCTAGGCTAGGGGCCTGGACCCCCCGTCACCCCATATCACCATTACCACCCATTCAGACTAGCCTCCTTACAGAAAAATTCCAACTGGGTTAGGAATGTTTGCTTATTAAACGATATATAATATAGGGATGAATATGGGGTTTGAAATATGTAATATTTAATGCTGTTTTTAGATAATCAAAGTTATCGAAAGTTTATCGATTTTTAATAGATTATTTTTGTTTTAGAAAAAAGCAAAAATATCAATCAAGGTTTGTATTTGATAGATAAAACTATTTGAAACTGTATAGTATTGATGTTTATATATATATATCGATTTATATCGATAAATTCCACCATCTCCCATAACCTATAACGTCTCTTTGAAGTTTTTCCAACGCTTTCCTCTAAAATGTTACTCCACGTTGTCTGACTGACTGTGTGAAAGCAAAAACCTTTTTTCACGCACAGGATATGCCACACCCACCATCCACCGCCCACGCACAGACACGCTCATATATGTTTATATATATATATATATATATATATAGGTTGCTCCTGCCACGCCCACATTCAAGTCACTCGGCTTGGCGCGTCAGCAGCTACAAAATATTTACAATGAAAAATGTCAGCAGGTATTTATTTTTATGGCCCAACATTCGTCAGTCTTATTGTTAGTTGACTCGTAGGGGGTGATTTCCCAGGGGTGGGGGGATAGGGGGGCTGTGTTGGTAGGGAGTGGAAAATGTGGGCGGATTTTTGTTTTCGTGGAAATAGCTTGCTTACAAAAGGCTAAGCTCACTTTTTATGGGTTATCCATCAAGAGGAGCAGTGTTTTCTCACATTTCACATTTTGAAGGGAACTTTTGAGGGTAAAAATGGGTATTTTTAGATAAATTTAATAGGTTTTTGATTAACGTGGTGATTATAAATAGAATTAATATTTAATTAATATAGGATTAATATAGGATAGATAGGATTTATAATTAATAAAGTGATGTTTTATTTTTAAAAAGTGTTTAAAATGAAAAAAAGTAACTAAATATCTTAATAAGGTTTTTAAAATAGAATTATATAATTGGGAATATTTTGATAGCTTTTTTTATAAATTTAATTAAAATCTAAAACTATATTTATTTAATTTTTTTTAGCTACTTTTTCTGTAGAATTCTATGCCTTCTTGACATTGGCACGCCTTTTTTTTTTTTGGTATTTTCGTAACCCTCACTTGGTCTTTGGACTTCTTTCACCCAAAAAACGCCATCACCATCGGTGCTTAGCCTCTTTTATGAATATTTATTCTGGTTCGCATATTAAAAATACAAGCCCCCAACATACACAAACAAACCAGCAGCGAGCTAGCGAGCCAATGACTAATAGTTGTATATTTTATTAATATTTGTCTCGCTGCCAGCAGCGCCAAAGTGTGTAAAGAAATTCCAAAAAGGGTACAACAAGGGAGTGCACAACATGCACAGGAAATAAATAAAAAGAAAAATAAATCAATAATCAGGATAAATTAAATAAATAGTTTCTAAAATTATATAATATATCAGTCTTAAGATTTATGTTTAATAATTAAAATATTAATCATTTTTTATATTTTTTTGCAGGTGCATTTATATTAGAAAAGCTCTCGGCATGCTTTGGACATCCAAGAGGTAGAAATGTCTAAAAAGCCGGCTCTGAAAAGCAGGCAACACATTTTTGCGTGCGTGGCCCGAAAGAAAGAGACAACTGTCACGGCGAGAGACAAGGTAAGCTACACATTGTTATATATCCGGAGAAAGGGTAACAAAAGACACAACCCGTGGTCAAATAAAACAACAACAAAAAATAACAAATATGCCAAACGAAATAAAATGCTGCCACATGGTTTCTTTGCTTCTCTTCTCCTCTTTTTTTTTTTATAGAACTTCCGGTTTTATTTATATTTATTTTTATACCGCATTTCCCTTTCTTTTCTCTGAAATTTTTGCTGTCAACGCGTCGGCTGTTGTCTCGACTTTTTCCACCACGACAACATTTTGTTTTCTCATTAGACATCGCCAAGCCCCCAGTCCCCCAGTCTCTCAGTCCCTTGTAGTTTCATAATTGTCTTCTGACCCCTCCACCCTTCAGATTCTCCTGCATAAAAGTCCAGAAAGATTCCGAGATCCCATGTCCGAGATCTCAACGAAAAAGGGCGGCTTCCCGAAAGCCAAGCCACATTTCCGCATTTCATTTGATGGCTGCCACGCGTTTTTTTCCCCCCGTTTCCGGTTCGCAAAATGGAAGGCTGAGGTCCTGGGTCTTGTTATTATGATACAGCCCCAGACATGTGTGATTTGTGGCCCAAAAAAAATTAAAGGGTATAGAGGGGTTTGTTTTCTAAAAAATTTATATGTTTTTTAATAAATTTTTTTTTTAAGAAATAATTATTTTTTTGGTAATCCTGTATAATTGTTTCTTTCATCTTTTTATAAAGGGTATTAAATTATTCGTTTCTTTTCAAACCCCCCCTTTATAACAACAAAAATTTCAATAGTTGACTCAACGTTTCCCCCCCTAAAAAAAAGGGTTGATATGGCGCCCAAGAATGCCAAGTTTCAGGGTCAAGGGTCACAGGGGTTAGGTCTGAAGAGGCTTGGGCTTCTGGACTTGCGACTTAAACGGCTTGGGTTAGGTTAGTTTTTTGCGTGGATCCTACGTGTTGATTTGCGGCGCCTGTTGTGACTCATGTTTTCCTTTTTTTTATTATTTTTCTTTTTTTTTTTTGGGGCATGTTTCATAACATGTTTTATGAGTCCTCGAAATCGAAGGACGACTCACGGACTGACTGACTGAGGGCTGGCCGTTCGCTATGGTTTTCCGGGCGATTCGGTTGAGCGCTAATTTAATGACATTAAGCTGCTTCCGATTTCGTTTCCTCTCGATTTTGTTTTTCTCCCCCAAAAGCTCTGACCTGTGACTACCTACCGGCCTGCTGCAGAGAACCCCCTTTCTGCCTCCCCTGGATGATTCGTTTTCTGGGTTTTTCGCTCAACTTGTAATTTGGCGCAGCTGCAGTTTCATTTTTTTTTTCAGTTTTTTTTCGGCAATGGCCGGCATTGAATAAATAGCAATTTCTATGCAATGTTTTTCTGCAATTTAAACTTTATTTTCATTTATGGCTGCTGCCCACTTCTTGCAAAAATCCGTGGTTTTCCGTATTTTTTTTTTTTTTTTGATAGTGGAGGTGCTCAGTTTGAATTTCACTTTTTATGACATTCCATAATATATAATTTTGTCCATATCTGGTTCTATTTTTTGCTTAAAATCGTAGGGGGTAATATTTTGTAGTTTATGGTATAGTTTTAGCTTCAGATTTGCCATTTCTTGATATTTTTTTTTAAATAATTTTGAAACTGGCTTCAAGGGTAATTTTGTAATAGAGGTTTTTTTTTTATTAGGTTTACTTCTGTTTTGCTTCTATTCTAGAAGTTATTTTATAGAGGGGTTTGTTGAGGATTATTCGGAAAAAAATTATAAAAAATATTTGAAATAAGGAAAAAAAAAAAATAATAATCTAAAAAAGCAAAAAAATATATTTTAGGCATCGAATAAATAATAGATAAGATTATAGGAATATAGCAACTAATATATTATTTTTTACAATATTAGTTCAAACAAAAAAATATATATTTAGATACTTAGATTTAGATTTAAAATTTCCTATACATTTTTTTTAATACAATAATTTTTTAGAAAAGGAATAGAAATTTACATAAATATCTAATTTCTATAAAAAACTAGAAAAGCAGGAATTGAAATTATTAATATTTATATTTTAAAATCAAGCTTAAAATCCAAAAATAATTACAACCAAGCCTCAAATGCAATTTTAATAGTTATTATCAACTATTGTTTTAAATATAACTTTTTTAAACAAAATAGAAAGAGTTATTAACCATAAAATAACAACAAAAATTTAGACATTTTGGAAAGAGCTTAAAATGCAGATTTAAAATCAGTGCTCCAGCGCGCCCTCCTCTCCCCAAACAGACCCATTTTGTATATCTCGATGGCTCTTTTTGGACCAAAAGAACCCACGCCTGCCATATCCCATTAACCCTTACCCAGTTTCTGTGGGTAAAAGACCCCTCTCCCCCCTACCCCCTCTTACAAGTTAAGTCAAAGTTTCGTCCTGTCTTGTTCTAGTGGTGGTGGTGCTGGTTCTGGTGCTTCGTTCACCCATCTTATTAAATGCGACCTAGGACAAGGAAAACTCTCTCGAGATGAAAAACCCCTCCAAGGAGGAGGCTTTGGCATAGTTTTGCACGTGTAACGGTAAATGGCTGTCAGACAAACTACTCCCCCTTTTGATATCCCTTTGATTTTTTCCCCCAAAAAAAAATAAAAACGATGAGTGGGTGGTTGGGTGGTTGGGTGTGTGCTTTTCTCATTTGCTACTGAATTTTTATTACAAATTTCTTCATGATGATGGCAGACAGGTGGCGAATGTGTTTTCTTTTTCACAGTTTCATTCGTTCTCTGTGTCGCCTGGGCATGTGCCTGTCTCGCTTTCCAGGCCAAAATAAATAGCCGGCAAAAAAGAGGAAAATCATTGCAATAGGAAATGAAAATGTTGCGGGCACATTGGAAAATAGGTTTCCCTTTCCCAACCAAAAGAATACCATCCAAAGGTGCCATAGACAGGAAGACAGTGGAAAATCAATAGGAAACAGTCGAAGGATATTTAAGCAGGATATTTAATATGTTCGTTCTACGATGGCATTCATTTCATGCTCAAAAAATATATATCTATATATATTTCTATATATATGTATGTATGTATGATTTCCGTTCACTTTTTCGGTGGCTTTGACCAAGCCACTTAAGCCACTTTCAATTTGATATCAATAATGGCCCAAAAGGAGCCTTTTTGGTCCAGCCAGAAAGTCTTGTTCCGGTCTCCTATCTCTATCTGTATTCCCAGCTCTACCTCTAGCTTTCTCTTTCTTACCAAAATTTTCCTTGTACTTGGCTTTTCCTCTGGCGATTTCTAACGTCTGTTGCTGGTTTTCTTCTCTGACATTCCTTGACTTTTTTTTTTTGGTTTCTATTTGTTTTAAGTATCTTGAAGAACGCTTCCTTAATACATACCTACACACATATGTTTATCTCTTTCGCCCCTTCTATATATCTATCTCTCTTTCTCGAAAACTTTCCAACTCGAACTATTTATCTTGTTAGCGGAAATCTATTGAAAATGTTGATGTCCTTTGTTGTTACGGGTGGTCTCTTCATGTGTGTGGCTGCGGGTGTACCTACATCCATGTAAGTGTACTTATATCGAAGATATATATATATATATATATATATAGATCTTTGGGTGGCCATTTTCAATATGCTTCGAGTGTTGAAGTTTCACATTTTAGAGAGCATTTCTTGCGGGCGCCGCAAGATGTTCAACTTCAAGTTGGCTTCTTAGGGCTATTGACTTGAATTTTAGTTAAATAAAATAGAAAAAAATATATATAGATAATATGAATATATAGCTTTTGCTTTAAAAATATTCTCTTAATATCCTCCATTGATTTTAAACCCCTCTGGAAAAATTATCTCCTCTAAAGAAAATCAATAAAGTGAGCAGCCGTGTTAGTCAGGGAGTTGCTTTTGTGTCGCCAGGTGGGGTAGGTGGAAGGGTTGTTTAGAAGAGTTTGGGGCAAAAGAAAGGTTTCTGTGGAGTGCTTTCAATTATTTTGCAATTGCGCTTTTTGCGGCATGCGGTCGTAATGCTAAAACTCTTTGCCATAACGCTTAACGTTCACAGTGTGAGGGCTGCGGGCTGTGAGCTGTGGCCTGACATGGGCTATGGGGGTAGTGTGTTGGAGCTGAGTCTCGGGTCTCGAGTCCTCTTCAAACTGCTAACCTAGAAAAAATAATATAGACCCAAACCCCCAGCCGTGGCAACATGTTATTGTCATAATGTATGCTAGCTGCAAACCAAACCGATTCCACGCCCCTTTTTCCAGCCCATTGCTCAAAAGCACTGAAAGAAAATTAGGGGTTTTTTTAGAGGAAATGGTTTGAACCATTGATCTTGAACCAAATGATCTTTTTTATTATAATTTTATTGGAAAAAAACGTTTTTATCTATTTATAAAAGAAACCCCCAATATATTTTATTTTAAAATTATGATCAAACTTGTATTTTTTATTTGAAACATTTTTTTTACAATTATTTGATTTATTTATTTTATAGTTTTTAAAGCTTCTTAAATTTAAGGTTATTTTAAAGGCTCCATTACACTGAGTTTCCATGGTACACCTATGAAAGAAAGAAGCAAACAATTAATTATTTAAAATTATAAATTTATCATAGAATAGTTATTATTTTTGTCAGTGTCTTTGAACAGTTGCAACCCTTTATTGAGACTCATTCCCTATTGTTGACTTTTTAGCGTTTTGTCTTCGCATTCATTTGATGTGGCCTCGTCGCTAACCCCTTTGACTCATTCACTCTCTTTCTCCGTTTTTGTCTCTTTCTTTTTTGCCCATTTCTCCGGTACCCCTGCCCCCAAAAAACTCCCCGCCCTGCTGGCCCCACGGTTTCGACCATAATGTTGGCAACTTTATTTGCGGTTTTGTGTGACTGTAAATTACGCAAACAGACGCGCAAATGAAACATATGTAACAAAATGTCTCCTCTGTATATAACTCTCCCGATTCAGTACCCCCTTCCCCCCTAATCCTCACTCCACTTTCTTCCCCTTTCTCTGCGAGTCCTCTTCTGTGAGTTTTGTGACTGCCAAGGCATAATAAATTATTAAGCAAAACTGCGAGAGTGTTCAGTGTTCATGGCAAATGCCAATGCCAAAATGTTTCACACACTCGACAAGGAGGTACTGCATGTTTTTGCCCCCAACTACCCTCCTATCCCCTCCAATCATCCCTCCCTTATTCTTTGACATGGCCTACATGGCGTATGCGTAATTTTGTTTTATTTGCCGCCTTTTGTTTCTTTTGGAGTGTGTGTATGTGTGTGTACTGTATTATTTATGCATAGGACGCATGGAAGATTGCAATTGGTTTCTGGCACATACATATGTACATACCTATATATATACACCAGAACAATTTATCTAGCCAGACAATCGAATGCTTAATAAAAATAAACCAAAAACAGTAAATAAAAACAAAAGGCAGCCACAAATCTAATCGAGTTTCGATTCTGCCAAAGGACCAACATCCACTTTGGCAAACCTATGCCTATCACAACCCAAAAAGAAGCCTTTGAACGCTCCAGTCCATTTGAAAAATTAAGAAAACAAAAATATTAAAATACCAACTCGGAACAATTCAAAATTTGCTTAAAATTAGAAAGAGTTAGGAACATACTATCGTAATACTGGCTTGGGGTTTCTGGCTGCAGGCTTTGGGCTACAGAATACGGGATATGGGCTACGGTTTATTGTAAGATTATTGTATTTTTGTTAACATGTAAGCGTATAAAAATTGTAAAGGGCACGGAGCCTATTTTTTTGTTTTTATATTTGATTGTGGGAAAATACGGTCATACTTTTTTGTTGTGCAAACCTGGCCACACTAATTTTCGACCCATGAAAATGCAACCACACTAAAATACGGTCACACTAAAATATGGTCACACTAATCGTCGCCCCACGAAAATGCAACCTCACTAAAATACGGTCATACTTTTTTGTTACGCAGACCTGGTCACACTAATTTTCGACCCATGAAAATACGGTCACACTAAAATACGGTCACACTAATTTTTGTCCCGCAAAAATGCGCAAAATACGGTCATACTTTTTTGTTACGCAGACCTGGTCACACTAATTTTCGACCCATGAAAATACGGTCACACTAAAATACGGTCACACTAATTTTTGTCCCGCAAAAATGCGCAAAATACGGTCATACTTTTTTGTTACGCAGACCTGGTCACACTAATTTTCGACCCATGAAAATACGGTCACACTAAAATACGGTCACACTAAAATATGGTCACACTAATCGTCGCCCCACGAAAATGCAACCTCACTAAAATACGGTCATACTTTTTTGTTACGCAGACCTGGTCACACTAATTTTCGACCCATGAAAATACGGTCACACTAAAATATACGGTCACACTAATTTTTGTCCCGCAAAAATGCGCAAAATACGGTCATACTTTTTTGTTACGCAGACCTGGTCACACTAATTTTCGGCCCATAAAAATACGGTCACACTATTTAGTGTGACCAGGTCTGCGTAACAAAAAAGTATGACCGTATTTGCGCATTTTTGTGGGACGAAAATTAGTGTGACCGTATTTTTAGTGTGGCCGCATTTTTGTGGGTCGAAAATTAGTGAGACCAGGTCTGCGTAACAAAAAAGTATGACCGTATTTGCGCATTTTTGTGGGGCGAAAATTAGTGTGACCGTATTTTAGTGTGACCGTATTTTGGTGTGACCGTATTTTAGTGTGGTTGCATTTTCGTGGGTCGAAGATAAGTGTGACCAGGTTTGCATAACAAAAAAGTATGACCGTATTTTTCCCAAAATCAAATATAAAAACAAAAAAATAGGCTCTTTATTACGCTTACATGTTAACAAAAATAAAATAATTAAAAAAAAAAACCGTAGCCCGTATTTCGTATTCTGAAGAAACCAGCTTGTGGCAAGTAGCCTGTAGCTTCAGGAAGGACGCCATAAATTCTTCTGCATGCCGCATCTTGGGAAGCACAGTCCTCCGTCCTGCTTATGACAGTTTAGGGCCTCAAAACGGGAAATATAAACTATGGAAGTGAACAAATCGATGTATCGATTGGGGATAATGGTTGTTTGGTTCCGCTCCAACCCTTTGAAACTCCGTCCGTATAACCATCAATGCCCCCAACCTTTTCAGTTACTTTTATTTTCTCTCTTTTCGGCTATTAGCTAATAATGAGGAGAGCCACCAAAAAAATATAGCCTGAGATGGTCAAGGTTGTGGACGATGTGTTACCCGGTACTTCAGCTGTCTTATAGATATTATGAGGTTGTATCCAATAGATTCATCAAGACACTGCCTGGTGTATTCCAGTGCCTGTATTATTTTTTCCTGAGAAAATATTAATGTTACTTTCTTAAGAATAGGATATACCCTCTGGCTCTACGAGTACCAGGTATAATGGGTACTGGGTATGGGAAAATATACAATTTGTTGATATTGATAATGACGTTGATGTTTCTGGTCATTTGCGAGTACTTTATGCCACTCTGCCCTCTGCTGGCTTCCTTCTTTTTTAGCTAATTAGTGGTTCACTATACTATATAGTAGTATTTTTTCACCCAACCGAACCCAACCCTTCTCCACCACCCACGCTTCCGCAAAGTAAGTGAAAAATTTCCTAGCAATTTGCATAGCTGATGACAATTTTCGTTTGCTGCCAGTGACAACTTGGCGAGTTAGTTAACTTAAGTAGTTGGTCAGTGGCTTGTTTTTAGCTACCTAAATTATTGCCACTTTTGGCGATTTACCAGAAAATCTTATTATGGATGAATTTGTAGTTTAAAGCTTAGTATTTTTCATAGTATTAGTATTTTGTGCCACACGGCACAATGACATTTTAATCGACAACCTCTTACACTTGGCACCTCTCTCTCTTGAATCCTGTCTCACATAATATGTAATAACGTTCTACTCACCATTGACAGGTTCCAGAGGCAAATAGCAGCAGCAGCAACATCAAAGCTGAGAAGCAACATCACCAACGGCCTCGCCCTCAACAGTTGTCTAAAATAAAAACACCAGCCTCTGGTTTGGCTTCGGCTGCGGCTCTGGCGTTTTTCAACGTCCCCCTCTTGATATTTGGGTTGCAGGTTGCAGGTTGCAGACCCTCCAGGACAACCGCAACAGCAGTCTCAGCAGCAACAGCACCAACATGCAACAGCACAGCAGCAACATTCGTGTCGTCATCATCATCATCATCGACTTGTGCAGCATCAGTGCCTCGTCAAAACGTCAATCGGTGTAATCAAGCGTTAAGTGATTCTGCGGAAGCGCAGCGAGGCCTTAACTTTGCTAAATACACTTCAAGAAAAAATTATACAAAAAATAAATATTAAAAAAAATGTATTAGAGTTGTATTAAAGTTATATTTAAAACTTATAGTTACCTATTAAAGTTCTTAAAAAAAAAAATAAACACATATATATTTTTTCTTTCACTGTATAAAGGCATTCCAGAACTGGCAACCGAGTTAACCCCCGTGAACATGAGCGGCGGCAGAACAGGGACAGCTGCCAAAGGGGCTTAAGCCGGGGGCCAGAACTGTCAGATCGAGACAGAACCGACAGACTTCAGGCTTCTGGCTTCACGGTTACTCGCCTCGCCTCGCCTCGCGCCGCCCCTCCCATCATCCTCCTTGGGATGATGATTCCCGTCAGTGTTTACTTTTTTAGACTTTTATACAAACAGCCGAACAGCGCAGAAGAACAGAATCATAAAAAGTGCAAGAATATACACAAATCCAATAAACCATATTTCCGCCAAAGGGCGAAAGGTTTGCAAAAAATAAATAAATATATAAGAGTTTAATGTTTTTTTGATTAAAAGATTCTGAGACTTTTGGAAAATGTAGAAAAGTGTTTATATTCTAAATGAGATATTGAAAAATATCTGATTCTTAGGAGAGGAACATCTAGAAGAATTCTTAGGAGAATGGTTTCAAGAATAACTCAATCTAAGTTTAATGTATTTTGAGCTAAAAGCTCCAGTTTTATTAAAAGGTTCTATACTTTTTGCAACATTCTCTAAAAGAGTTTTTTAATAAATGACATATTTTTAAATATATGCAATATTTTTAGAAGAATTCTTAGCAGAATTGTTGCCAGAATTACCTATATGAAGAATATAGAAGAACCTGGAGAGCCTTACATTTTCTAAATCTCGTATTCTTCCTCTCTTATCTCTCGTTCTAAAGAGGATTTGAAAGAATATATAGAACTTTAAACAAAAAAATAAAAAAGACGAATAAAGTCTCTTCCATACAAATCTTCAGGTATCCTAAAGGTCTTCTTCAAAGCCTCAAGATCAAAAAGAAAACCAATCTCATAAAGTAAAGTCACAAAATTAAGTAATAAATAGTGAATGATGGAAATTGGGTGATTGTGAAGACTGAAGACAGAAGACTGAATACTAAAGACACAAGACAGAAGACTTTAGTCTGTAGACTCAAGACTCTAGGCGTAGGTTAAATGCTTGTTAATTTCCCATATGGCCTGGACTCTGGCACTCTCTCTCTATGACATTTCAATTAAACGGGCATAATGAGCACGCGGCGATCCCCGGATCCTTGGACGAGGAGCCCCAGCCGGCAGATGATTAATGGCCCAAATGCGAACGATCGCCTGGCCTGGGCCCGGTGCCGCGAAAGTGTTGACTGCTGCCCGTTGTCCATCTCCATTGCCTGAAACTTAATTGAAGGAGAAGTGTGTGTTCTCCCCCTCCCCCATCCTGTAATTTGCCTTCCCAGGGGCAGCAGAGGGGTAGCATAGCAGGAAGGGGGCGGACCAGTTTGTTTCTGGCAACCTCGCTCGCTTATCGAAACCAGGCGATCGGCATCCTCTGTCGGGGAAACTGTAGCAGGCAGGCAGCAAGGTGCCGCTCTCATAAAACCAGTTACCGGCTGCACGCAGGCTCTACGCAAGGCACTGAGAGAAAATGAGGCTACAAAAGGGCAAGGTGAGTATGGGAGTCGAAGGAATACCAGAAGCTTCGATTTAAAATAAAAGAAAATATCCTATATTATTTCTTAAATTTTAAAAGAAGGAAAACAAAGAGTAGGAAAAAACGTTTGATACCATATATCGATGGCATGGAAAATATATCGAAATAATCGAAAAATATCCTACTTTATAAAAATTAAATAGTCCTTAGAGTAACTGTTAATGGAATAAGTACTAAGAATACCCCTAAAATAACTAGAATCTCCAAAAATTTCTAGAAAAGGATATAACTACCTAATATTTCTTCCATTTAAAAAACTTTCCCATTTTCTCAGTGTAAGAATCGAAGAATACTTGAACAATGTTTTCGCGGCTTATTACGCGCGATCGCTCTCTGTGTAGTGCAGCCACCTGTGCGCCAAAAAGATGTATAAAAAAAAAACTTTATAAAAAAAGAACAGAATACGAGCAGAAACACAAAATCAAACCGAAAAGCAAAGCTCGTTATGCTTGGTCAGGGGAAGGAGTCCCCCTATTTTTTTTTTTATTCATTCAGCGACCGACTGGAGGCATTGAACCAGTTTTCAGTTTCCAGATGGATGGATGGATGGATGCAATGGGGGACAACTCGAACTCGAACTCGAACTCGGACTCTGTCTTGGACTTGGGGTATTGAATCTGGCTCAGAAGATGAAGGCCCCCAAGTCGTGTGGCAGGAGTGGAAGCGGTAACACCGCCAAACTAAAGTGGAGCAGTCAAGCAGGCTTTGAAATGCCGCTAAAAACTGCCCATTCTGTCAGGTTCCCCAAGTTGCAGAGCTTCTTCAGTGATGGCAAAGGGTTTATTTTCGCTTTTTTTTTTGTAGCTAAAAGTTTGAGGTTTATGTTTTAAATATTTTTTAAAGGAAATATATAGTACTTTCGTTCCGAAGTAGTAAGGAATATGTTAATTTTTTTTTTTTTCTAGATAATTTTTTTTTTTTAAATACAAGGTCACACTAAGAATGTTTTTTATTAAAAAATACCACACTATCCTCCAAGAGTTATAATAAACAGAACCTTTATAGATTTTAAACATAAGAAATTAATATTTCTTTAAAAAAAAACTGTCTAATTAAATTTATAATATTTTTCTTAAATTTTTTATTTTAAAATATATTGCTACTAAACATTCCCCACCTCTCAACACTGATTCTGTTCAAAAATCGACAGGATGCTTCCCCCAGCAAGAAAAAAAAAGTGGACGCATCGTCTGGGGAGCGGAGATTAAGCGGCATTAGACTTTAGAATACCTGGGACATATCAAGAGGGGAGAGACCCGGTCCTGGACCCTGGTCCCTCGATCTGGATCTGGATCTGGATGTTGCAAGTTGCTGGCCTGCGACGTGCGACCACCTGGCGCTTCCAGCCAATCGGAAAGAAGCTGGCTAAATTAGTGCGCGGACCCCTTCTTGGCCAAAGTAGTTGCTGATTTTTAAATGCGAACTAGCGCTGATGCTTTGGTTTATTTTTAATATGCGTAAATTTTCACGATCCTATATAGGGTTTCACATATTATATATCTACATATACATATGTGGGGTGTCTTCTATGGGCGGTTTCCATCCTTTTGCTACTATTTTCTTGGTTTTTTTTTTTTTTTTTTTTTGGGCGTTTCACTGGACACTTGTACACTTAAGTGATTTAGTGTAAATGATTGTGGCAAAGAGAGGCCTGAACTAAAATGTGAAATTTTCATTGTAATTGACAAGGCTTCTTCGCTTTGAGTTTTCTGGGGGCCCTTCTCCGATTTCGGGCAGGTGGATCTTGTGCCGTGCGAGGTTAAGTGAGTGCCTAATAGATAGTCTGGATAACACGCCCGGGATACTTTAGATCTTTGGATCTTACAGCAGTGGATTGGTTCTTTTTTTTCCCCCCAAAGGATGTTTGGAGGAGTGGATAAACGTTTAGCCAGCTTTGATTGTGTTTTCTAGCTGGCATTTTCAATTAACAACAATTATTGGTAATTGGTTTTAATTGTAGAATATAAAAAGTTCATTATTTTTAAGAAAGATTGGTAATTGTAATTCTTCTAAAAGTTAAGAAAAAAAAAAGGGTATCATACTGTAGAGAAACTAATATTTTTTGTTTGGAAAAATAGATTAGAGATGAGTTCCCAGGTGTAGTCCCATATAGTAGAATACCAAGAGTTTGAAGAAACCCATATAAAGTTTCATATAGTGTCCAATATAGAGTCCATAGACTAACGTATAGGGTAACACGATAATAATTTAGAGATTTAAGAGATAAATATTTTTTAAAACAGGAAATAGGCATTTGATAGAAAATTTATGAATTTTTTAAATAAGACGTACCGGATATATAACCATTTAGTAGGGTCCCATACTAAGTACCATTTAGAGTACCACATAATACCTTAGAGTATAGATTATAGAGTTTTTTGGTAAAAATAGTAACTTTAGTTAAGAGAAGTACCAGCTATCATACAATATAAAAAACCCCCATTGCCTCTTCAGGCAAAGTTTCTTTAAAAAATATTCCAAAACTCTTCTTACAAAAACAAACCCCCACTGGATCACCAAACTCTAAACAAAACCCCCACCAATTAATCCAAACTAAAGCTTTAATTGAATATGTCTTAATTTGCCCAAAAAAGTAAATGATTAAAAATAATTATATACAATTAGCAATAGTTTGGTTAAGTTTGAGTTGTTTTTATTTGTTGTGGTATGTCGGTCTACACATATCGGTATTGGCGATGGGAGAGAGATCACTGACGATATAGCCGGCCGATCTTATGCAAGTACGCCCACATTGGCGGCATTTATCAGTGTTTCAACACCAACCGAGTGGAAAACCAGTTGGTGGCTGGACCTGCAGGGGTATCCAGCGGTGGCTGTGGTGGTTGGTTATGGTTGTGCAACAAATTAGACCTCTGGCTACAAAACCAGTCAGTCAGTCAAGTCAGTCAGTCGACAGTTGGGTTGACGACGGCGACGTTTTGTCGCATTTTGATGCCGAAGAAGATGCTTATTTTTTATTAGTTTTTATTTTTTTTTTTCGGTTTTAGATTGTGTTTGGGTTGTGTTGTGGCCGGGCCGGGCCGACGACGATGCTCTTGAATTTATGAGCGCGTTCTAATTTTAATTGCCAATTTGTGGGCATAATTTGTCCATAAACCTTAATTAACGACGAAAGCTAAACAACCGGCCGACCAAAAGATGTCAAAATAAAACAAACACCTTCAAGCAGCAGCCGTTCGAGGCTGACTCTGACCCCATCATCTCGTCATTCCATCTCCGAAATCTACAAAAAATCTACACCCGTTGCTCTATTTGCATGCAAATTAAATGAAACACCAGATGGATGGTCATAGGATGGGGGGGCAGTCATAGAAAAATAAGAAAAA